GGGTCTCGAACCCGCGGGCTCAGGCAATCCACTCACCTCAGCCTCCCAAAGGCGTGGGATTACAGGCTGAGCCACCGAGCCCGGCCATTTAACATTTTCAAGATGAAACTTAAATATTAACTTGAATACCAGCTGTCTTTTCCCTGTAAAACTGGGTTTCTTTTGTGTTGCTAGGATTCATATAGTCTTACTAAGTGTTTGTTGGACCTGAGATCAATATTTATTAGGTATTTGTCAATTATTATTGCTTTCATTGGTGCTGACATTATTACCTATATAAAATGTTAATTGGCTTCCTCCAAGTGGTCTATTTGTCTGACAACATCCTAGATCACTTGACTTGTTAAAGACACAACTTTTTCAGGAAAGTCAATGGGTTGATATAGAAGGATCCTGAAAATTTCCTGGATGACTGTTTCATAGCCAAGTGGGAACATATTTTATTTACTTCACTCCTTCACCAGATTGGGCTCATTATTTATGGGGGGAAGAAAATTATTCTTGCTCTCCTAATTGCAAGGGTAAGAAAATGTTTGATGATAGTATATTTTTTAATGACACATATTAAATTCACCTAGTCATACAAGGCTCCAAAAATTTAATGAAGTAGAAAAAAGGATTGAAAGGCACACTGGAATTCAAAATATACAGAATTTGTAATAAGCTTACCAAATTAGAGAATCCTTTGTCACCTTAAAACTTTAGTCTTAGTTACAGTCTATAATCTTTTGGAAACTTTGCCTAAAATTACATCCTGTTCATTCACATTTTCTGTGGAGTTTAGCCATGTTTTCCTGGGGAGTATAACTTTAAAACAGTTTGATATGACTGTTCTCTTGATAGAGACTTTTTTCTTTCAGTAATCTTTTTTTTCTAATAATAAATTACATGTTCATGGTAAAATTTTGACATAATTCAAAGATATATACATGGGATATGACTATTTTTCTTTAATCTGACCCTCAGAGGTAACCATTTGTAACACCCACTGGGAGGTCTTCTTGGATCCCACTATGCATTCAGACTCACACAATTCCCGTAGCCCATGTACCACATCAGGTTCCCTGGGAAGGATTTTAGGAAGGAACCACTGCTTGTCAATGGGGCAGAGACTTGGAGAGTGCCTCCCAGCAGTCTTCGTGGCTGTCTGAGAGCTGTTCTCCTGGCCCCACCTCTCCCAGGTAATAGCTTAGGTGCACTGAGATGTGACCCCTGTGCACAGTTGTGAGAACAGCTGCCCTATAATTCCAGGCCACAAGGGAACCAGTGTCTCTTGTAACAGCCCATAGTCTCTACAGGGCATGCTGAGTTACCAGCCATTCCCCTCAGAGAAGCCTAAAGCTATGATTTCCCACTAGATAGCTATCTCCCCGTCCAGAAGCAACTGATCAGTGGTTGGGGGGTAATTTTTACTGAGAGCAATGTTGCCT